CCGGAGCCCGGAGCCCGGAGCCCGGAGCCCGGAGCCCGGAGCCCGGACCATGATAATGTGCAGGCCGTGCCGGTGTCAGACTTTTGACTGTGTCAGCGAACGCGTGCAGCTGATGATCTAATTATATGGCAACATGGCTTGCTATACAATCACCAGCCGCACGCGGCCATTTGACTGCACGCTGACCGACCTTCAAACAGGTAAAAATTTCAGTCAAGCTTCAGATGGGACAATACTACCGGGCAGCCATCCATCAGCCCAAATGGACGTTCAGCCGCTGTACTCAGCGGACACACGCGACCAACGACCCAAACAGTTGAGATCACAAAATATCCAACATGTCAGAGCAGGGTCCATGTCTGAATAATGCAGAATGCAGGCAGAAGCAGAGATTTAATGCACTTTGATGGCCATGAAAGGACAAACACCCCCTCAGCTCCAATCTTCTGCCCCCTTAACCACGTGCGTCCGCCGACCATTAACTATATAAGCAGTCAAAGCTTAATTAAAAATGTCGGGGGGGGGGGGGGGGGTTCTGCCCTGTAATTACTGTAAATTTGTCGGGTCGGATGGGTTTCGGAAATGATGGCTACAGGCTGGGGCCGGGCCGGGGCCGGGGCCGGTTTTTTGGTCTGAATGCAATGCTACTCTGCGGTAGTTAGCTTAGCTATGCTATGTGCTAACACTGTAAACAGACAGTAACAATAAGGTGACCAGATTTCTGACATTAAATCTGGGGACATTTACAGCTCTGAGACAAAAAAGAATCAAATGTTATCAAGATGAAATTAAAAAGGAGGACAGTTACGATTTCATTTATTTTTACATTTTTCTTCACATTCAAACAAAAATCAAATGTACCAGCAGGAATGTATCACTAACCTATCGCTAACAGTACCACGCTGCTAACAGAACCACAATGCTAACAGAACCACACTGCTAACAGAACCACAATGCTAACAGAACCACACTGCTAACAGTACCACGCTGCTAACATAACCACACTGCTAACAGAACCACAATGCTAACAGAACCACACTGCTAACAGTACCATGCTGCTAACATAACCACGCTGCTAACAGAACCACACTGCTAACAGAACCACAATGCTAACAGAACCACACTGCTAACAGTACCATGCTGCTAACATAACCACACTGCTAACAGTACCACGCTGCTAACAGAACCACACTGCTAACAGTACCATACTGCTAACAGTACCATGCTGCTAACAGAACCACACTGCTAACAGAACCACGCTGCTAACAGAACCACACTGCTAACAGAACCACACTGCTAACAGAACCAGAATGCTAACAGAACCACACTGCTAACAGTACCACGCTGCTAACAGTACCACACTGCTAACAGTACCACACTGCTAACAGAACCACGTTGCTAACAGTACCATACTGCTAACAGTACCATGCTGCTAACAGAACCACGCTGCTAACAGTACCACACTGCTAACAGAACCACACTGCTAACAGTACCATGCTGCTAACAGAACTACACTGCTAACAGAACCACACTGCTAACAGAACCACACTGCTAACAGAACCACACTGCTAACAGTACTATAATATAACATATAACAGTACTATAGGTACAGTAATAGTTCTAGAATTGCGCCGCTCAAGGTGGCTGCATGTTGGAGCAGCTCTGTTACTTTCATTCTGAGATTTTGCTTTTGGAAACTTTAATTCCTCTTTTTCTGGATGCAAGTCACATTTTTTGGATGACTGTTTCCTCTGGTATCAGATGCTGTGCAGCTGGAAGGATTTTTACTGAAACTTTTTTAGTTTTGGACATTTGTTATGATGCGTAACCATGACAACAAGGCAGTTTTCTACAACAACAGCAGCTGATTAACATCTCAAAAGCTCAAATAATATCTCAACGACAGCCCCAAATCTCAAATGAGTTGAAAAGGATGGTCTGTGGACGCATTTTCATCTACCTGCCAGCTGTGCTCGAGTGCCTGACCACTGAGATCCTGGAACTAGCAGGAAACACGGCTCATGACAGCAGAAGGACAGGATCGTCCCTCACCACCTACAGTTGGCTGTCCACAGTGACGAGGAGCTCAGCAGGCTGCTGGGAGGAGTGGCCATTGCTCTGGGAGGAGTTCTGCCCGACATTTGGGCGGTCCTACAGACCGGGGGAACCGAGAGTCCAGCCGAGTCTGGGTGGACGGATCGGACG